CAATTTTGTTGACAAATATCATAAATTGGATATATATCGGTATTTATTTAACTACTAAATCTAAATTACAATTTGACTCAGTTTTAGGCTATTCGAAATTGTAATACTTAACAGGTGGAAAAGTTGGAATGAACCATACCCACCCCCTCAGGAGCAGGAGGAAATAATACAGAGCTCAACAAACTGTCAAAGGTTCCAGGACATTGAAAACAGAGAGTAGCCTCCTCAAAGGACCATCGACCAGAAATCTCTTGAGGATCGAGGAAAGACCCCAACCCATCAAGGAAGCATTGATAAACAGATGAGACTCCAGACAAGGTGGAGGATAGAACTCCCTCCTTGGTCAATCCCTTGTCAAGCCACTAAGCAAGGTTTGCCCAGATTCCAGGGGGACGGGTAATGGGATTGGTGGAGAAATGTCCACTGAAGGGAATGCATGGGAGTCCAACCCAAGGGAAAGAAAGCTTTGAAGGAGCCCAAAACCTGAAAAAAGAGAGAACCCCTTGCACAGTGAGAAATAGGAAAGGTAGGGCCACTGAGACTACCTGCTCCATATCCCTGAGCTAAAGTGGAGAAGGCTGGGCTAGATGAAGATGGGAATTAAAGAAAAATCCTCATTGGAATAAGATATTTTGTGGGGTTAAGAATGGACCTCTCCAACTGAATAAGAAAACTCTACTGATTAGCTTTCCAAAGAAATACGCAGCCGTGATTGACTGACTGGACACAGGAAAAGGCAATCAGGAGCCAGTCGATCGTGAAAAGGAGTGTCCGAAGATCCAATGAGCGAAAATGACAGGCAAAAGAGTGTACCACTGAACAAAATACATGGAACTGAAGAAGGACCAAATGGCAGTGCCCAGAACTGGAAGACCCAACCCTTATAGACGAATCGAAGAAAATGAAGTGACACTGGAGCAGTTGGAATATGAAAATAGGCATCTGTCATGACAAATTGTTCATCTAGAGTCACAGGGAAAAAAAACCTGAAGTGAGAGGTAGGACTCCATGGTGAAGTGAAGCGGCTCCAGATAAGAGTTTAACTGGGACAGGTCTATAATGGATCTCCAATCTCCCATCTTTTGAGGGACATCAATTAGACAGGAGTAAAACAATGGTTAAGTGGGTACCACCTGATCGACAGCCCCTTTGTGTAGTAGGTCTTGAACAGACAAGGCAAGACGACTGGAAGAGGTACAATCCTGAGGAGAGAAGGGGATCCTGGAAAAGGATAGGGAATGAGCAGAACTGAAGGCAGAAACCTTCAGATAGAACCTGTAGAGCCCACGGAACTGTTGTGAAGTGTAACCAAAAATACACATAAACTAAACATAAATAGAGAAATTACTAACGAACAAACAAAACCTAGAAATTTGTAGTCTACAAAGTACATAAAAATAACAAACCTGCAAAACTATGAAATTCGACCTAAAACAATAAGCAACAACCTAAAATACAAAACATAAACTAGCTAAACATGGGTATACCTACTGGGAGTGAAGAATACATGCTGAAAAACTTACCACAGATCCCCTAACCCAGGAGATTAAATATAGGCATGGTAACAGGTGTAAAGTGCCATGGAAATAAATTTCCACTAAGTAGTTATATTCATCCTTACAAAAAAAAACAAAAAAAACATAACACGAAAAGAAGAAATTGTCAGTGAAACATATAACATGAACTTGTGAACTAAAGCTTGTACTTCCTCACTAGACATCGTCGACCATGAGACCTGGGACTCGTTTCAGAACCATTGTTTACAGTCAGAGGAATTTCATCATCCACCATATTAAATCTCAAATTCACACCAACAAATTAGAGTTCATAAAACAGAAAAAATTCTAAAACAAATGAGTAGAAACAATGGAAATCAAACACAAGAAGTCGAAACAGATATAAATTTGTGATCAAGCACAATCAAAATTTTGTAGACACATGGAGAGCAAGTTAAAACTCGCGTCTCTACACTAGAATGCCAATCGAGAAAGTGAGGATTGTTCTAGAATAGTAGAGGGAGCTAGCTGTGCTAGTATAGATGGCATAGTATGATTGGTAGAGAGTAGTCACATGACCAGTATGTTCTGAAATGGCACAAAACTAATGGAGTATGAAAGACTGGTGCACTGTTAGCAAACAATTTTTAGCAATGCTTAGAGGTCAGACTAGATTGAGATAGCTTTGGTTGAGGGAGGTAAAACCATTTCAGAACTATTGCATTGCTTGCTAACTACAGTTAATACAGTTTCACTTTTAATAGCCAGTAGAAACAGCAATGTAAAATAGTTATGTGACATTATACTTTCTTCTTTATGATAACAAGTGATTTATGCCATAGTTGTATTCTTTGGCAAGAAATATTTCCTATATTTTACTGAATAAGAATTTTACAAATCCTTTTCACCCAGCTGATGATACCTGTAAGCAAATGGGATTTATAGTGTTGTTTTCATTCTTCCTACTGTTCTTCTTTAGCATGAATAATTTCTTGTTTCATCCAAAACACCGAGGTTCTTTTTTAACCATGTTCATAAATATTTCTACAGTACAGCTTTCTTAATTGTACACTTCTTACTTGAACGTTTTGGACAAACATGTGAACTTAAGTATCACAGATTTTTTTTTAAGTCTTTAGCTCACAGTTATTATACAACTTATAATTACTCTTTGAAGAATGTTTTGGTGCAAGAATATACACGTCTTAGTGATTAGTGGTATATTCAAGAGCAAACTGCATTTACTCACTTCTCATCTGGCAAAGGCATTTCTCTGCTTCTCAGTTACCACTGCCCAGCATGAATCTCAACCACTAAAAGAAGTTTATCTTTCTTTTTAAAACAAATTACAGCATTCTTTTGACATCAACAGAAACTATTTCAGTTCATTAACAAATAATGTCAAAAGGAACAAGATAATTGACTTGACAATACTAAAGAAAATGTAAACCTTGTTTAACCTTTTGTGCTTTGGTAATTTAACTGACATATTTCTAAGAATAAAAAAACAAACAACTTTCAGTTATAAGAAAAATTTACCTTGTAAAGTGATTTTAAAGTTTGAATACAGATTTACTTAAAAGTAATATGGTTCACTGTAAGAATTGGCATAAAACCAAATACTCAATATTTCATATTTTAATTTGTTGGTTTCTACAGTTTTCATTTAACATTAGAACAATACAGGGAAGAGTGAAAACAAAAATATTGCTGCAAAATAGACTAATTCAATGATATAACCTAGAACAGTTGTTCATAACCCTGATGTACACATCATAAAATAGCAATAATTAATATATTTCAAACATTACTATTTCCACAACAGCATCTAATAAAAAATGAGTAGTAACTCATTTCCCTAAAGCTCTGTTAACCCATAAACTCATATTCTGTGATCACAAACTGCACATCTTTGTAATCAATGTTGTCAATTCTAAAAGAGAACTTGCTGGCACAGTTGTAAAGTTGTATTTTTAATTTCATATAGAACACATACGTAATGAAAATATTTACATTTCTTTCTATTTTTATTGAAGTTCAAGGGAAAGAGAGAAAAATATAAAAATCTCAGTTTATCATTAGTATTACCATGCATCAAGTCATTCACAACAATATATTTGTATTTGTCAAATAATTCTATACTTCTTATTAGATCCATTCATAATGGCATGTCACTAATAATTACTTATTAAAGGGTGTTTTAAAGGTTTATCATTCTCTGTTTTTGCCTGTCTCCTCAATGAAACAATGTAAGAATGCACATACCATGGAGAAATTTGATAAACATCAGCCACTAGTATAAATCTTTTCTTACCTATACAAACAAAAGTATATATAGTGATTTTAGTTAATAGTATAAGGATCTAACTTTAACAAGGCTGTAGGGTTTTGGCTTGTTGTTTGTTTCTGTTCACGTAAATCACAAATAGAATCATTTTTACTGGCATAACACATAAAGAGAAACAGAAAGAGAGAGAAAAGCAGTTAACGGTTAATGTATATTCAACAAAAAATATAATTTCTTAAAATATGCTTTGAATGTACCAATATCAAAATGAGAAAGTTATTAATTAATCAGTTGCTTATACTGGGCTATTTTTTGTTTTCTTGCTACAACCTAATCCTTTTATTATGGATCTTTGGGATGATTTATGATGTATCCAAAGACATAACAACCTACTCATATTTGATTCTTTAAAGTCTGCTTAGTCCTAGGCCTAATAGGTTGGCAGTTTAACATGAAAAATAGAAGTAATAATATTGAAAGAAAAGAACAGTTGTATCAGAGATTGGAAAGCATCTATCTATACGTTTTGAGTAACTTAAGAATATCAGTAGCTATTTTTAAAAAGTGCAGAACATTTTTCCACATTTAGCAGATAACTAACATGTGAAACAATAACCAGTTTTAATCATGGATGGGTTAAAACTAATTTTCTTTTTAGTATTTAGTCAATTTCAATTATTCAAATTTAAGGCCAATAAACCAATTCTAAAATACATAAATTATTACCTGATTAAATGGTACATCCCTCAGAATTGTGTCACAGAATTATCTGTGTATATTTAAACATTTCAGATAATCTGATGACTCACAAATACTCAACAAATGATTTTCACTGATGGTTTAATATGCTGATCTAAGTTTAGCATTATTTGTCAAAACCAGCCAAACACTATGATGTGTTCCTTGTACTAGAGTTAAAAAAGCACTGTTTAGCAGTAATGGTACATAAGTACTAAGTCAAGGGAATTTAATAACTGTGAATTTTATGTATATCTTACGTGGTTTGGTTTTCACAATACATCTTGATTTTAATTAATAAATATTCTATCAAATAAAATGTACTAAAACTATAATGTTCAATTCCATTAACCAATATCAACAAAATGACTAAAAATTCATGCTATTCTGATTGGTTTTAGCTTTAATTAAAATTTTGGGGTTGCTTGTACTTAATTACAAATTACTTTCCTTCTAAAAGAATTTATTTTGTATTGTTTAAAATAATTGGCATGAATTATGTACACACTATTAATTAAAATTATACTTGGCATAATGTTAAAGTTTTGGATAAATTTTATGACATTATTTGGAATGCTGAGTCTAATGATATCACACATGAGAATAAAATGGAAAAACATCCTACCATTTTAGCATACAACAGTAACACAATAATCAGTAGCAACATCTTTATAACATAAGTGTCTGATAGCATCTTGAGTAAGAAATTGTAGTTACATTTATTGATAACATAATTCTAAAAAAAATGTTTAAAAAGAACAGCTTGCAAATTAAAATATCTAAAAATTACAATGTTAAATGTTCCAACTTGGCTATTTAAAATCTTCCTGTAATTCTCACTTGAGGAATTCCTGTTGAAGTTGCCTGTGGAGGTGGTGGTGGTTGCTGAAGATTGGTAACAAGAGGTGGTGGATAAGCTCCAAAACTTGCTGGAGGAGCAGGTGGGGGTGGAGCTGCTCCTGAAGCAGGGGGTGGTGGGTGAGGCAGCAAGGCTTGGTGTGGATTAGATGGAGGTGGGGGGTATTGAGGAGGCACCACTGGGAGTGGAGGAACACTGTACTGTGCTGAAGTGGCATGTTGGGGATGGTTAGAATATTGATCAGTGTATTGTGGAGGTGGGTTATGGGGTTGGAGTAAAGGTTGAGTCTGCACAGCAGGGTGTGTAGGAGGAGGAGGGTGTGAAATTTTGTATGGTGCTGGGTTAGATGGGACAGTGGGGTGGGGAAAATGTTGTGATGGTGGGTGAGGTTGTGGTTCTGGAGGATGATAGTACTGATGTGTGGGTGGAGGCAAAGGATTGTAGGGGGCAAGGTGAGACGTGGAAGTTGGGTAAGGTGTATGAGTTGGGGGAACAGATTGATATGTTTGTTGCTGACTATAGGGAATGGTCTCAGTTGAGCTTCCACCACTAGGATACTGGTTGGTAGATCTGGGTCCTGCTGTTTCAGTCCCCAGTGATGGTTCAGGTTGTTGGCTCGGAACATTTACATTAATTCCTGTGGTAACTATTGAGACAATAGGTTCAATTTTGGTAAGAGACACATGGGATGCAACTGTTTTGACAGCAGCAGTTATTGATGTTGTAGGAGTTGTAGTTGCAGCAGGAGCTGTGCTGACATCCTTGGCCTCACTCTTCTCAATCTTTGGGATTGGTTGACCTACTGGTGGTTCCTTGGATTTAGATTGTCGTGGAGGAGTTAGTGAAGCTTGTGGTGATGGTGTTGACTAAAAGCAAAACACAAATTCTCATGTATTACCTTGTTACACATAAACTAGGATTTCAAACATACCAGTATGATTATGTAAGCATATTTCCTATAAGTAGAAAGTACAATAAAATAAAATCAGATTTACACGTGTTCTTTAGAAAAACAGACTATTTTCATCCTCAAATATGTCCTGTATATAACTTTAAGTTTAATTTAAAAACAACTTAAGATAGCTTGAAAATGTCTACCAAATTTCCCTTATCTTCAAAGTATTTACGTCACTTCTACAAACATGGACAAGCTTTTCCAGAACACTAGATAAGAAAGTTAAGTTTAAAAAAGATTTGCAAATTTTCAAGCCTTTAAACTGTACAAATTTGAGAACATTACAATAAAATGATTTTGCTTATGCAAGTCAGCAAGTCATGTGACAACCACAGCTGATATAAAGTTTGGTGGAATGATATGTATCAAAACTACATTTTGACATTGCTTGACATTTAATACATAGTGTGATGACAGTGTAGTAGTAAAAGAAAAAATACTGGAGCTGTGAAACTAACTATTAGTTTAGTGTTTTATGTAGCACATTGTATCATCAGTACCTGATGATGACAAAACTTTGTCGAAACGTTGTACATTTGCTGTTATGTTAAACTTATATTAAAGTTTTTCTTCATTACCCATTCAAGCTGTCTTCAGCCATTATACAGCAAGCATATCTTTGCAAAATTTAGCAGATTTTTAGTAGACATTACAAGTCTTTTGAACACAAAAGATCAGATTTTTCAAAGAAGTATTTTTGCTAAAGATTTGTCTGTGAATATATATATAATCGTTTTTACTAGTCCGAATGCAAAGTGATTTCCACGTTAAGATTAAAAATACTTTTCTTCATCTCAAAAATCTCAAACTTCATTTGCACAATTTCTAAAACCTCCCAAGTAAATTTCAAACTATTTTTTGGTAAAACTTTATATTTTATCTGTTATTTTCTATACCCTAACACTATACAAGGTTGGTCAGTTTGAACAACCTCATAACTACCAAAAAGATATTGAGATAAATCTAAATTACCATTTTTTTCTTTCTAGAATGACTTCAAATTGTAATATGAAATTACATTTGCTTATCCTATATAACTTTAAATTTGTAACAGTACACATTTATTTTAGTTAATTGTTCTTTGAACCCCGTCTAACAACTTTTCATGCCATTATAAGTTGTAAATCACTTGATGGATGTACACCACACTTTATACTATAGAATTACATTATGCACGAGCTACTCGTAAGCATACTTTGTGAAAATTTTTTTTATTATAGTATTATCATTATTATTTACTTTACCTAATCTAAACTTAACTAACCTAAAATGTTTCTTATTTTTACATTTTAATTACTTATATAATAATAAATAAAGATTACACAGGAAGAATAATAAATATATTACTTACCTGGGTTGTCATCTTTTTTTTTACTGTCGACTGTTTAGGACACTTAACCTCATTTTTTTATGCTAATGATACTACTGCACTAAATAATTTTTTATTCAGTTAAATAATGCACCAAAAAACACAGAATGATAACATACAAATAGCAGACAATGTCCCATAACTATCACAATTGTTCTGGCTTTATAACCATTCGACAAGAGCCATTAAAAATTAATCTAAGCTTGTTGATGTGTTTCTCTTGGATTAAAGCTTGAACTGAAAGCGAAAGTGGCAATTCTCTGTACAGAAAACAACTCACATAATATGTCATAGAGTTAAACCTTGACTTTCTATTGGTTATAAACAAAAATAGTACTAAATATCAGAGAGAACTACTGGCAATTTCTGAAAGAGAGGATGACAGATGGGCATGGCAAGAAGGGTCTGACTGTCTGTTTCATGGCTTTGTAACCAAATAAGATTGAAGTCTATAAAAATTATATTTTGTCTGAGCAATGACAACATTATATCAAGTAATTTATGCTAAATGTCATACTTCTTGGATGGGTGGTAGATAAATCAGAGAAGAGGTGATGCCTAGAGAGAAATGTCACAATTTTCATACTAGGAGAACTTATATACAACTTATATACTATTAAAATATGAATTATCAGCTATGTTTTATGCTATACATATTGGTATACCGTAAAAAGAAAGTAGTTTAATTAAGTTTTGAATGTAACTCATTAAACCCTTGTGACATGCACAGAAAAAGATGCCTTTGGAGAGAGAGTTGATGACTGAATAACCTTATAAGTTGCCTTGCATAAAGGCATCAGTCAAATGACTAAATAATAATAATAACTGTTCTCGTATGTGTTTCTATTGGTCCCCACAATTTGAGTTGTTCAGTTGTCTGTAATTATTCAATATAGCTTGAATTTTTCAGTTAGTTTTTGTTGTTATGTTTGTCTTTTGTATATTTATTAGACAACACTTTTAGGGACAGATGAGGACAACTTGAACAGGTCATGGGCTGATGTGATATATGTTTATGTTCACATCTATAGTAATGTACATGTTACAACTAAAATTTTTGTCATTCATTTAATACTTGCTATGGAACAAAAGTAAGCATTCCTGATTAAATGAAATGTTTTGTAGGGAAACTTAGGAAGGTTCTCTACTGAAACATACACGCATGTTGTTTGAAAGAAGTGTATTTTTAAATTGTACACTAGTCATCATTAACCCCTATCTGCCCAGGCATCCTTTACTGCACAAGGTTTTCTAGTGGCTTACATTCAAAATTGTATTAAACTACTTTATATTTATGTTATACCAATTAATATAGCATAAAATCTTAGCTAATAATCCATATTTGAATAGTATATACGTTTTAAGTTCATAATTTTATAAGGCAATATTTAAATAATTCCTGAATTTTCCCTAGTGTGAGAAAGGCGACAATCTTGCTGTAGGCATCCTACCTTCTCTATTTTACCCGCCATTCCTCTAGTAACAATAAATTACAGGTAAATTACTCACTATAAAATCGTCATTGCTCAGACAAACCATAATTTTCATAGCCTTCAATTTTGTTTGGTTACACAGCTATCATAGAAAATCAGACCCCTCTTGCCGCACCAACCTGTCACATCTTCTCTTTCAGGATTTGTTAATAGTTCTTTCTTACATTTAATTCTATATTATCTATAACAAGTAGAAAGCCATCTGTCAAATGACGTGTTATATTACATTGTGTACTGAACAGAGACTTGTCAATTTTTCAGTTAGTACAAGCTTTGTTCCCATGGGAAAGTTAACGACTAACTATCATGAATTTGTAATGGCTCTTGTTGCATAGTTAGAAAGCCAGAAAAATTGTGATAGTTAGAGGAAATTGTCTACATTTTGCATATTATTATTCTATTGTCTTTGGTGCATGACTTAATGAAATACAAATTATTTTGTGCATTACAACCATTAGTATGAAAAATGTAGGGTTAAGTGTCATCGTCAGTCGACAGAAAAAAAAAAGAGAAGAAACGGGTAAGTACTTTATTTCTTATTTTTCGTGTTTATTCTTTATTTATTTATTATAACAAAAGTAACTAAAGTGTAAAAATAGGGAACTCTTTAGGTTAGTTATGGTTAGATCAGGTGAAATAAATAATGATAATAAAATAAAAATATTTCATGAGTAACGCACGCAAGCAGCTTGGAGTAACTCGTGGGTAATGTAATCCGATAGCATAATGTGAGCTGCACATTCCTTAAATGATTTACGACTTATAATGGTGTGAATAGTAGTTAGACACAGTTCAAAGGGCAATAAGACAATAAAATTTAATTATAAATAGATGTATACTGTTACGAATTTAAACCTACTTATGATAAACGAATGTAGTTTCATGTTACATTTGAAGTCATTATAGAAAGAAAAAGAGGGTACTTTTGATTTTTTTTTTGGTGGTTACGAGGTCGGTTAAATTGACTAATGTTGTATAGAGTTAGGGTAGAGAAAATAACAGTTAAAATATAAAGTATTAATGAAAACAAACATTTCAAATGTAAGATTTTTGAGATGAAAAAAAAAATAGTTTTAATCTCACCATGAAAATCACTTTGCACTCGAACTATTGAAAACAAATACTCGATATATTCACAGACAAATCTTTTTTCAGTTTATTAAAAATACTTCATTAAAGAATATGATTTTTTGTATGTGAAAGACATAATGTTTACTGAAAGACTGCCACATTTCTTGAAGATACACAATACACACTATATTAAAAGTTAGTAGTATCAAATCTATAAAGACTTTGAATGAGTACAAAAAGGTGACGTGGTCGGTCAAATTGGACGAGACCTTACTGAGAGAGTTAATATGTGTCCATTATTAATTATTATTACTTTATAGTTTTTATCATAAATTGTAATGAGGAAATATTTTAAATATATAAAATTATTAGCAGTTGAGCACCATGGGACCACAAAAAGAAAAAAGAAAGAGCCCCCCCCCCCTCCCCTACCCAGTGATCCACTACACATTTGGATACCACCATAAATTTTATATAACAGCTCTTCCTGAACTAAAATATTTACTCATACACTCAGATCACAGAGATGTGTTAAAATTAACATGAGGATACCTCTTGTACTTAATGGTATTGGGGGTAAAAAAAAAAATTATATATGTATCATCTTTAGGACAGGACCATCCAGAAACAGGCTTGCAACAAGTCATACAATGAACCATAAAATTAATTTTTCCTCATTTTGATTTGTGAGAAAAAATATTATATTAACTTACAGGATGAGATCGTTTAGCAGATTTTGGTGGTGGTGTAGCAGGAGGTGAGTCTTGTGGTGTTGTAGAGACAGGAGTAGAGTACAAATCCAAAACTTGGTGGCAGATATCTAAAATAAATGTCACAATTATAAATGCATAAGCTCACTTATTTCAAGTAATAGTATCTCCATTTGGGTAAGTCAATACATCCATCAATTAAACTGAAAATATTAGAACTACTCACAATATTGTTAATTAATTCCATTAAAATAGAAAACAACAACTGAAATCTTAGTTTTTACTCAAATGATTGATATTACTGAAATGTTTAGCACAAAGTAATTAAAGACTATACTACCCAAGAAAGTCAAGTAGGCATTGTTCAATACAGTCTGCCCAGAAAATTATAAAATTATCTTAATAATGTGATGGACCACCTCTTACTTGAATAACAGTGACAATGTGATGTGGTATGAATTCCACAAGATGATATTACAGGGTTTGTACCCTTCTGACAAAACTAAATTTGAGGTCTTTTTCCATGATCAATGTATAAATATATTTGTGACCTTGTCACTGTTACTACACAATAGCAAAAAATATAAAAAAATTTTACAAAACCATCACAGCTCACTAACAAATATTCCAAATATTTTAGGGGTAAATTTAGAAATTTTAATAAAATTTACCCAAAGTTTAGGGTATTTTTTACAAACAATTACAAAGGAAACTTACTTTTTCTTTAAATCAAAATAACTGTTTAACTCACAGAATGACTTATATTTTTAACAACTTTTCTGAAGAATCCTTATCTTTAGTACGTGTTACTGATGTATATTTCTTTCAAAAACACACAAAATGAACAGTTTAGTTATGTGTCACGATTATTAAACTAAAGATTACTAAGCAACACATTTTTAAATCATGATCATGCAAGTTTTTCAAGAAGCACCAACATATTTACAGCTTCCACTTCTCTCCTTTCAGCCATTCCATACTCCTCCAGTTATTAGTAACATCAAAGAAGAAAAAAGAAGCATGAACAATATATTCTTTCATTTAATGAATAACAAAATATTCTAAACATAAGAATTTAAACAGTAATGGAATGATTATTGTTATGAAAGTTCTTTATAGTTAATGAACAACATGCTAAGTTAGCTTAAACAAAACAATTTTTCATTCAACTTCACAGTACTACCAATTATAAATTGAAAACCCATAAGCAATTAGTTCAAACTTAAATAATTTTTTTTTCTATTAGTAACTAATTACTGGGAAGAGAATTTCATCTCTTTTAACAAAAACGCCACCTAAAAATCTGTGATCAAGTATTAAACTAAAAGTTTTTTATTGAAGAAGATAATGACTGGGACTGTATTGTCCTGAGACTCTTTGAAAGGTCATCAACCATTTTTTTGTTTTTAGCAACAAGATTAGTCCTTTCCTTCCTATTGTTCTCTCTTTGATATCTTATTTCATTCATTTTCTTTGTAGATACTTCAATAAGTCCTTAGAGTTTGCCTGCCTCATCTAAATTCTTATCTTTTCAAGCCTTATCAAATTACTCTTCTGCTGACTTAGTTTCCATTTTTTATTCTTTTTCTGCCATTGAGTTTTCTTTATCCCTGAGTTTTTCTTTCTTTCTTCAAACTGTATGCTATTTTCTTCAAGTTCTTTTTGATCATCTTCTTTTCTTCATTTGATTTTTTTTTGCATTTTAATTCCTTTCGTTTTTTTCAATTCTTTGTTTGTAAACCCTATGAGCATATCTACCTGCTTCCAATAATGTGTTTGTTTTAGAGATTTCTGGAACTTTCCCATCACCAACTTTAAATGTATCTTTAATGTTTGGAGTAGATTGATGGAACTAGCTGACAGAAGTGTCCTTTTAATTGTCACAACTTTCTTGTTTTCAGATAAGTTCCTTTCAACCTCTGCATAACCATGTGCAAGTCACAAGCTTTATTTCACTACTTTGGTCATAATGCTGAATTTGTAACCTCCATTGTGAAGGTACCTTTTATTTTTTTTTAGTAGTTTGTTTTACATTTGCATTACATAATACTCTGCTAATAATGGTTCACTCTAACGTCTTTGCTTTTCTTACCTTTCTTTTAGCATTTAGAAATATTTTCTAGATAATATGTCTTCCACCCATCTGTCAACATTGCAACTTCAATGTAATATTCCTGATTTTTGTAGTTTCATTTTTTTTCTGTATCAGTGGGTGACAATATATTTCTGAGCAGGTAATTGTCTAAAGGAAGTCTTTTCTGCATATTTCCTCACAGTTTTCAAGAAGTTTTTCATGTTCTTGAGAGCAAGCTTTCACATATGAGGTTTCTTCTGTAGTAGTAATCTGGTTGACTTGTTAATTTCTATGTTTATTAACTGATTACCTTGCCAATAGCATCAATCTGAAGATGTTTTCTTTCATTATGTGATAAGATAACATTGCTATTTAAAAATGGACATTTCTGAAGACGTAATATAGACTAAGAGATATTTTCACTGAAAAAACTTCAGAAATCGATCATATAGACTTTTCAGACTCAGAAAAAAAATGATTAAGTTACGATGTTGATGGAGTTGTCACATTGACAGATATAAAGGTACCTTTTATTTTTTTAGTAGTTTAGTTTCTTTGTTTCAACCCTCTGTTCAAATACTGTTCTATAGGTTTCCAGTTCTTAATAATGCATTGCAGTGGTGGTAAAAGCATCAGCCACCTGCACTGTACATGTTTCATGAACAGTTCTTCATCAAATCCTAGTTCATCTTGTAAATCTTCTCTTTTGCATGGTGATGATTTGAAAATATACAACAAGTCAATTGCAAGCTCCTCAGCCATTCAATCATCCACTTTCAGACCTTTCTGAAAGGAATTATGAACAGCATGCAAGTTGTATAGGATGAATTAGGCATTAAACCTGGCAAGCCTGAAGATTTTACTCTCTCATTTACCGTATTTCAAATTGTCATATTAACATTAGGGCCAAATTAGGTAATTTATCAGGTGGTATCTGGAATCCAGCTTATTGAAGTGTGTCAATGGTGGCATTAGCAAAATCTACTCCCAGTGCATGCCCAAACATGATTGCTTTCAAGAACTGTACTCATCTGACCAATAACAAACAAGGACTTGTTTATGGATTTGATAGTTACTGGTTTCACCATAACATAGTACAAAGGCTGGCACATTTGAAATTCTGTCATATAACATCTTTCTAAAGTGTGGTCCTAACACATCTTACTTTGGCTCATTGTGAAATTATCAGTAATAATATTACCAGGAAACATCTTTTGAAAAGATGTGGAAGGCATCACATGATGGGTAGGAGTAATTGCTAAGTGCAACTTTCATTCCTCATGTTAAAGATTATTTAGTACTTGGATCAACAGTTGTATATGATGATTGCTATGCTTTATTAGAACTGATAATTCCACTACTGGATGCAGTTTCTTCATTAGTGGATGTCTTAAGATTGAGATATAATTTTTACACTGAAATGTTTTTGTGTTGTATCAAATTTAGCCTTCAATAGGTCCTGTTGTTTGAATTCTTTATAGAGCATAAGAACTTGCTTAAATTCAGAGTTGTCTACTAGGAACAACTTCTTGCAGAATAGAGAGACTTCTTTCATTGGAAATACATCTGCTTTGCACCATCTCCCAACTTGAAAACCCATGTGAATCATTCTGTTGCAGCGAAGCTGCATTAAACTGCTTGCCCATGTAGCATTCTGAAATTTTCTACATTCAATTTAAATTTCTTCTTTATATGGACTGGTCTTAAATCTTCATTTTATACCTCAAATAAGAACATCAGTTTCACTATACAGGGAAGTTTCTCTTGGAAAGGCTATCATAACCCAATAAAATTGTTTAATATAACTACAAATTCAGATTATGTTACCCATTATTACCAGTTCTCAGAGGTTGTCAATATTCAAGAGATTTCACTATGACAGTGAAAGACATGGTGCTACAACTCTCCTCATAAACAGGTATGAGTGAAAGAACAACCAGTTTATTTTCTCAGCTGTTCTTAATCAGATACATTTTCAAAAAATTTCTATAAAGAAACTACCATATTTTTTGGAATACAAGACGCACCCTTATTTTGAAGACAAAGTTT